ATGTGCCATAATTGGTGGCTCTATGTTGAAATACTTGATTCATTTGTTTTCTTGTATTTTCCTGTTTAGCTTTTGTAGGCCCAATTAGTGTTATGGGCCTGAATGTACGTAGCCCATGAGGATTAGTTTCTGGTTGTGTATCTAAATGTATTTTAGTTTGCTATTGTGACTTGTATATATAATGGGTCTCGGTAGGCCCAAAGGTGTAATCCGTTTTTGATCTTAATGAAGTATTCAGATTGATCAAACTGTGCGTTTAGGAGGGTATTACGGGTTGGTACGTTCAACATGGCATCAGAGCCAAACGTCGCCGTTTAAGTGATGCTGAGAAGAGCTCCTCGACGACGGCCTGCCAAGAATAGCACAAAGAAACCCTAATCCTCTGCTGCAAGAACCATGGGAGAAGAGAAGGTCACGCCCGAGAGCATCCTGTTTTCGCACCCCCTGTATTTGCATCCGTCTGACACGCAGGGGATGGCAATCATCCCACACGTTCTCACCGGTACTGAAAATTACACGGTGTGGTCCCGCGCAATGAAAATCGCACTTCTCGGCAAGCATAAGCTGGGTTTTGTCGATGGTTCTTGCAAGAAAAGCGACCAAGAAACGAGTCTCTGGCCACAGTAGGAGAGATGCAATGCTGTCGTGCTCTCCTGGCTGATTAACTCGATATCCAAGGAACTCGCCAGTGGGATCATCTACTTTCAAGATGCGCACGGAGTGTGGGTCGAACTGAAGGAGCGGTTTGACAAGAAGAGTGGTTCAAGAATTTTCGCATTGCACCGGGAAATTCACTTGCTCCGTCAAGGTTCGAATTCTGTCACAGTTTATTTCTCGAAATTGAAAGAGTTGTGGGAAGAGCAGGCTGCCCTCATCGCTATTCCGTCCTGCAATTGTTCGACCGCCAAAGCCTATTCCGACGCTGTTCAAGAACAGAAACTATTACAGTTTCTAATGGGGCTCAACGAGAATTTTTCTCAAGCCCGCGACCTAATATTGATGATGTTCCCTCTCCCATCCGTTAACGAGGCGTACTCACTGATCGTCTAGGATGAAACCTAACGCCTCCTGTCTTACCGTGATAAGAACGTTCCCATCGAAGGTCTTGCAATGGCTGCAAGGGGAAGGGGGCGTGGACAAGGACGCGGGAGAGGAGACAGTACACTGGAGTGTACACACTGTCACAAGAAGGGACACCTCAGAGAAAATTGTTTCCAGCTTGTGGGATATCCACTAGGCTTCAAGGGGAACAGAGGAAGACAACAAGGGGACTCTCAGCAAAGGGGAGCTGATCATTTCAAAGATGTTGACCCTCAAGGACACGCAGTAACCACGGTTGCCCCAACATTCACACAAGATCAATATGAGAAGATCCTGGAGTTGCTGAAAAAGGAGATTGAGCCTATGGTCCACGCTTTAACCGGTACAGGTTTGACCTCTCCTACTCATAATGTTGAAATTCACACACATTGGATTCTAGATTCAGGTGCTGCTACTCATATGGTTGGAAAACTTGAATTGTTTGATGATTGTGAGTTGTATAATGGACCGATTAATTCAATTAAGATACCAAATGGGGATAGACTCTCTGTTACACATACTGGTTCTATCACAGTTGCGGATAATATTGTTATTCATAATGTTCTTTATGCCCCTCGCTTAGCATTTAATCTCATATCCATATCTAGATTTACAAAAGAAAATAATTGCATGGCAGCCTTCTTTCCTGATCTCTGTATACTACAGGGCCTTTAGGATGGGAGGATCAAGACGACTGGTAGAGAGTATAAGGGATTATATGTGCTAAAAGTCACCAACAATACCCCTATTTCAGTCAATGTAATTCAAAATGAGAAAATTTCCAAGAGATTATGATATACTGTTATGGCATAGAAGGCTAGGACATGCACCTTTGTCTGTGATTAAGCATCTGGATTCCATATGGACTGACAATTCTGTTCTGAATAAAAGTTCTCATTCTTGTGATATTTGTATTCGATCCAAACAAACTAAATTCCCCTTTAACTCTAGTGTTATCAAATCTAAAAGGTGTTTTGATTTAATTCATGCTGATGTTTAGGGCCCATATAGGAACCCCACACATCAGGGTTTTCAATTCTTTTTAACCTTAGTTGATGATTTTTCGAGGGGGACTTGGATATTTTTAATGAAGCATAAGAGTGAAACAGAATCACATATTCGGAATTTCATTTCCTATATTTCAACACAATTTTCTGTCACTGTGAAAAAGATTAGGAGTGATAATGGCACTAAATTTACTAACAGTCAGTTAAAAACTTATTTCCAGCAAAGGGGTATAATTCATCAGACCAGTTGCCCTTATACTCTAGAACAAAATAGGGTAGTGGAAAGGAAACATAGAACCATTATGCAGATTACTAGGAGTCTCATTCTCCAATCTGGAATACCTATCAAGTATTGGGGAGAGTGTGTCAAGATGGCTGTTTTCATTCTTAATAGGGTCCCATCTAGGATACTTGAGTACCAGACACCTTATGAACGAGTCTATGGTACTAAACCGGATTTAAGCAATCTAAGAACCTTTGGATCTCTCGCTTATGCGACTGACTTAAGGACCAGTGATAAATTACAGCCTAGGTCAATCCCTAGCATATTCTTAGGATATCTTGATAACCAGAAGGGTTTTCTTCTTCTTAATCTAAAGGAAAACAATTTTTTTGTAAGCAGGCATGTGAATTTCATTGAAGATAAATTCCTTTTTAGGGATGTTAAAGAAAACTTTCAAAATGGATTGAGTAATGACATTAGATCTATGTTTTGGTTTGAATCAGATACTTTTGAGAAACAGAATTCAAAATATGTTAAAGAACCTGAATTAGATAATAGCGGTAATGAATTTGTTGGAAACAGAATGTCTAATGAAGAAAATAGTGAGGATAATAACAATGATAATGATGATAATGTGCACAACAGAAATGGGATTCATACTCATAGGTCCACACGTACTAGAAGCCCCCCTATCTGGGCTAATGATTATGTTTGTTCTTTATTACAGTTTGATTCATACTATCTTGTTAAGAGTAACTGTAAATATCCTATTGATGATTATTTATCTTATGCACTAATGTCTCCTGATCACATGTGTTTCTTAACCTCCCTTGATTCAAATAATGAACCATCCTGTTATCAAGAAGCCGTTCAAAATCCAGATTGGGTTAAGGCCATGCAAGCTGAAATGAATGCTTTAGAAAATAATGGAACTTGGATTATAGTGCCTTTACCTAAAGGAAAAAGGCCCATTCGTTGCAAATGGGTGTATAAAATCAAGTACAATGCTGATGGTAGCATAGAAAAGTATAAGGCTAGATTAGTGGCTAAAGGCTATAGTCAAAGAGAAGGGATCGATTACCATGAGACTTTTTCCCCTGTTATGAAAATGTTTACTGTTAGGGTGGTTCTAAAATTATCAGCTGTGAATAAGTGGAATATTTATCAAATGGATGTTCATAATGCTTTTTTACAGGGAGATTTAGATAAGGAAGTTTATATGAAAATACCTCAGGGTTTTGAGAGAAAGGGAGAGCAAATGGTTTGCAAATTAAATAAATCTCTTTGTGGTTTAAAGCAGGCTTCAAGACAGTGGAATCAAAAACTGTCTGAATCATTGCAGAAAGGAGGTTTTACTCAAAGTAAATCAGATTATTCCCTCTTTATTAAACATTATGATGATGGGGTTGTACTTATTCTAGTATATGTGGATGACTTATTGATAACTGGGAGTACAGAATTTGGCATTAGTGAAACTAAGGATTTTTTGCACAGACATTTTAAGATTAAGGATCTTGGTTTAATGAAATATTTCCTTGGGATAGAAGTTGCTAAATCTGAAAAAGGAATTATTTTGTCACAAAGGAAATATGTTCTAGATTTGCTGTTTGAGACTGGTATGACAGGTTGTAAGCCCTTAGGAATCCAATGGCACAAAGTTTGAAGCTGTTTCCCTACAATGAAAAGAAGAATAAGAAGGAGGATCTGTTATAGCAACCTAAAAAGTACAGACGCTTGGTAGGTAAGCTGATTTATTTAACTATGACCAGGCCTGATATATCTTATTCTGTGTAGACATTGAGTCAATTCATGCAAATGCCAACCAAGGCTCATATGGCTACAGCAAGAGGTGTTTTGCGCTATCTAAAGGGGACTCCTGGCTTGGGAATTTTCATCAGCTCTAAAGGGATACTAGAATTAGAGTGTTATTGTGACTCAGATTGGGCATCATGTGCAATGTCAAGAAGGTCTGTTTCGGGTTACTTGTTGAAGTTGGGAGGCTCACTTGTAATGTGGAAAACAAAGAAACAAAACATTGTTTCTAAGTCCTCTGCTGAGGCAGAGTATAGGGCTTTAAGTATGGCCATTTTAGAAGTGGTATGGGCCCTTAGTTTGCTGAAAGATTTGGGAATAACTCACAATGGTCCAGTGAAGGTGTATTGTGACAGCAAGGCTGCAATACATATTGCAGCTAACCCAGTTTTTCATGAACGTACAAAGCATATAGAAGTGGACTGTCACTTTGTTAGAGAGAAATGGCAGTCAAAGCTTATTAATCTGCTTCATGTCAGAAGCAACGATCAACAGGCAGATTTGCTAACAAAGGCTGTTGGAGGGAATGTGTAGAGAAATCTTCTGAGCAAGTTAGGTGCTATGGATGTCTTTAAGCCCCAAACTTGAGGGGGAGTGTTGAAATACTTGATTCATTTGTTTTCTTGTATTTTCCTGTTTAGCTTTTGTAGGCCCAATTAGTGTTATGGGCCCGAATGTACGTAGCCCATGAGGATTAGTTTTTGGTTGCGTATCTGAATGTATTTTAGTTTGCTACTGTGACTTGTATATATAATGGGTCTCGGTAGGCCCAAAGGTGTAATCCATTTTTGATCTTAATGAAGTATTCAGATTGATCAAACTGTGCGTTTAGGAGGGTATTACGGGTTGGTACGTTCAACACTCTATCTCAAGTAATCATGGATACCTCATTGCCCTCCCGTATTTCTAATATTGTGCTTCTATGGTTCCTGATATGTTCAATCACGCTACGCAAAGGCGCTATGCAGTGCAATGAAAGAGACCACCACGTTCTCCTAAACTTCAAACACACCCTTGTCGATCCGTCAGCCATCCTCTCCACCTGGTCCGATGAGCCAGATTGTTGTGAATGGGCAGGAGTTCGGTGTGACAACACCAGCGGCAGAGTCATCGAGCTCTGTCTCCCATGTCCTTTACAATCTTTTTACGGTGATTGTGGAGAGACGAGATCACACTATCTCACTGGTGAACTCCACCTGTCTTTGCTTGATCAGCTTGAGTTTCTTAATTACTTGGATTTGAGCAATCATGACTTCCGTGCTATCGTCCAAAATGATCATGTGGACATCACAAAGTCTAACAACCTATCTCTGGTTGAACGCCAAATTTCTTCCAATCTTCATTATCTCAATTTATCCAATAATGAAGATCTTCACTTTGATAGTCTTCATTGGCTTTCTCGTGTTCCCTCCTTGCAATATCTTGGAATATAAAACCCACTTTGTACTGTAAATTATACTACAAAGTGGTCTTATATTTAAGATCAGAGGAGTATTAATCTTCAAGGAAAACTTGACTGGCTTCAATTAGCAACTCTACTTTCTTCCCTCACAGAGCTATATTTGGAAAGCTGTCAGCTTAGAAACATAAATCCATCTCTCCAGTTTATCAATTTTACTTGGCTTGAGGTTCTTATCCTCACTAGTAATGAATTTAGCTCGGACTTCTTTCCCAACTGGTTGTTCAATCTTAGTGGTGTCACTGTTCTCAACCAACGCTCAGATTATTTCGGAGGGGGGGTTCCCAGAGGGTTTATTGAACCTCCGGAAAACACAAGAATTGTCTGTGGGGACAATAGACTCAGTGGGCCAATTCTCGACTGGTTAGGACAACTTCAACATTCACAACTTCTCGATCTTAGTGAAAATTTCTATTCTGGCCCCGTTCCCTCAACTTTGGGAAATCCCTCATCGTTGAAAACCTTTATTGTCAGGTCTAACCACTTCGGTGGTGCTCTTCCTACAAATCTTGGACAACTCTTGAATTTGGAGGAACTAGATTTTAGTTATAATAACTTGGCGGGGCATGTGTCAGAAAGAAATTTCGACACACTCTCGAATCTGAAGTTGCTTTTCATGGGATCACCAGGCTTGATCTTTGACTTTAATCCTCTTTGGGTTCCTTCTTTCCAACTTGAAACTATTCACTTGGAACACAGGAGGGGTCCTAAACTTCCTGCATGGATATACACTCAAACACGTCTAAGCAGCTTAGGAATTAAATAGTCAAGAATTTCATTCGAGTCCCCAGACGGCTTTTGGAAATTTGCGACCCAACTAGCATACTTACACTTAGAGGATAACACAATTGATGGAGAAATGTCTAATGTGTTACTGAATTCTGCAGTCATAAATTTGGATTCAAACAAATCGAAAGGCAACGTTCCTCAGTTATCGCAAAATGTTGTCTAGTTCAGTATAGCAAACAACTGCCTGCGAGGATCTATTTCTCCTTAGTGTGTCAAAGAATAAAGCGGAGAAGTCAAAGAATAAAGGGGAGAAGCAAATCGAAGTCTTTGGATATATCTAATAATTTATTATCTGGGGAACTGCCAGATTGTTGGATGAATCGGAAATCACTGGTTGTGCTTAAGCTTGGTGGCAATAGTCTAAGGGGTGGAATACCTCGATCAATGAGTTTATTGTCTAACCTTACATTTGCATCTCAATAAAAATAGCTTATTTGGAGAGATACCTTTGTCACTGAAAAATTGCCAAGTCCTGCAAGTCATTGATTTAGGGGAAAACAAATTTTCAGGACACATACCAAGTTGGATTGGGGACAAAGCTAAGGTTATCAGACTGAGACCCAATCAACTCCGTGGAAATACCCCCCCACAAATATGCCAATTAATTTCCCTCATAATATTGGATTTGGCGGACAACAAAATATCAGGTTCAATCCCAACTTGCCTAGAGAACATGGCGGCCATGGTTTCCCCTGATTCTTCATATAGTGGAGTTCTAAACTAGTGCTCTAGAACTCTAAATTACACTTTCATAGTGAGAGACGAGGTTTTGTTGCACATGAAAGGCCAAGGATTGAGCTATAAACGAAACTTGAATTTGGTACGTTCTGTTGATCTATCAAGTAATATGATGGCCGGGACAATACCTCCAGAAATTTTTGCTCTCACGGGATTACAATCTTTGAATTTGTCTCATAATCAATTTGAGGGAAACATACCAAAAGAGGTGTGGAACATGTAACAATTGGAGCCTGTCGATCTTGCAAATAATCGACTTTCAGGTGAAATTCCCTAAAGTATGGCCAAATTGTCTTTTCTAGCAGCCTTGAACCTCTCCTTCAACAATTTTATTGGAAAGATCCCCTTAGGCACTCAACTTCAAGGGTTTGATGCACAAAGTTATATTGGGAATCCTGATCTATGCGGACCTCCACTTCAAAAGAATTGCACTAACGATGAAGACAAGAATTCCAACATAGAATCTGACAACCAAGATGATGAATTTCTGTCTTTCTTCTACATTGGGTTGGGAGTTGGATTTGCCATGGCTTTTTGGGGAGTTTGCGGTGCCATATTTCTCAACAGAAATTTCAGGCATTCTTACTTCTCGTTTTTGTATTTTATTGGAGACAAACTTTATGTCATGGCGGTTCTCATGATAAATCGTAACCATTGATCAAAGGCCTTGTGGAGACTACTTTAAACATCTTACAGCCCACCGAGTGACAACAAATTGTAAGTGATGTAGCTCTTTTAAAATTTTGGCGTACATTTGCAAGATAGCTTTCCATCGAATAAAATGGATAGCAGAGGAACATATTCAATATTAAGTTGACAATAAATAAGTAATTAATATAAAAGTTAGATAACTAATTTGTGAATATTAAAAAAATTAGTTAATTAATTATTTATAATAAATTGATATTGTTTTTTCTGAAATACTCCTATCAATCATGTGCATTGAAATTAATTATCTTTTTTGAAATACCCCTAACATGTGTAATCACTAATAGCCTATAAGGATTACTTGAGACAAAATAGATAAATATTTAAGACAAAGTAAATTGAGATCTTATATTTAAAACTAAATTAAATTTTCAGTTATCTAATTATATTAATGACCTAACCCAGTACTTATCTCTATAGGTTACTTTTGTTTAGTTATTTGTAATAAATTAATATTGTCTTTTTTAAAATACCCTATCAATCATGTGCATTGATATTCTTTCATAAAAACTCCTTAACATGTGCAGACACCAATACCCTATAAGGATTACTCAAGAGTCAAATGGATAAATATTTGACACAAAGTGAATTAAAATCTTATATTTAAAACTAAATTAATTCTTTAATTATCTCTTATATTAATAACTAGACCCAGACTCATCTCTACGGGCTATTTTTGTTTAAATTTACACTAGATTTTTTTTATTTTCAAAAATTCTGCATAATTAATGATATAAATGGACTTGCAAGTATCATGCTCAATATTATGTCTCTATGGATTGACTCGAGGACTTTTCCGCTTTGCCCTTTGTGATTATAGATTTTTTCTTTCCCCCCCCCCTTCAGTTAAACATTATCTCAAAGTGGGTGCATGTCAGTTTTTCTCTTATTTATTTTCCGCATTTTTCAATGTATTCTCCTTTCTTTGATGTGCACTTTCAATTAATTAGGAAATATATTTTTTTATTCTGAAAAATTCAGCATAATCAACGTTTTCTTAAGCAAATATATGAGTCGCGTCAGAAGGATCGTACTAGAACGCTAGGTCTATATCCCCTCCCAAGAATCAATTTCGGTGCTAAGCACGATGATGAGCACCAAGAGCTCATCATTTATGCGCACCGTTTTAATGAAGCCAAGAATGAGCTCCCTCCATTCGCTTGCCCAGCGACGTTGTTCTGTGGGATAAAGTCAATGAAGTTCCCTTCATGCGAGGCAAGTTTTTATTTTTATTTTTAATTTTTTTTTAGTAAGGAGCAAGTTCCAAATTTTCGCTTCTCTTCTTCTTTGAAGAAGATTACCAATGGCGACTCCTCCAGCTCCAGCAGGAGCAGAAAAAATATCTCTAAAAGATCAGGACTTTAAATTTTTCATGTTAGGGAAGGCAAAGCCACAGCACCTTGCACCCAAACTACCAAGCAAGATCCTCCAAACTTACTCTTTATAGGCACCTCCTGAAGCATCTTGTTGACATTATTGGCTCCAAAGACTTTGTGAACATTTAGATCCCGTTTGGTGCGAAGTATTTAAAATGAGGGAGAGAAATTAAGATTGCAATTGAGAAAAATTATTAAAATAGTATTTAGCATGAATAATTGCTTGTTACATGGGATTAGACAAACTCATAGAGGTGAGATTAGGGAATACCAATTTCTTTTATGCTATTCCCATTCCTAATTTTTAATACTTCTTACCAAATGCGACCTTAGATGCCATTTGGTTCAAAGCATTAAAAATGAAGGACAAGACTTGGGGTTGGAATTGAGAAAAAATATTAATTAAAGAGTGTTTAATATGAGTGTTTTTTTATTATATAAGATTAGGTAATCTCACATATAAGGATTTGGCCAATTCCAAGTAACAACCAATCACTCATATTAAATATTCTTTTAACATATTTTTTGAATCTTAATCCCAATTCTATCCCTCATTTTCAATACTTTATACCAAACAGCATGTTGGCAAACTTGTGGGACTCATCCGCGTCTTCTTTTGAAGCATCTCGCATGCCACACACGGTGACGTTCTACCCTGCTTCCTTCCTCCCTCTTTCATTTCTCCAATCTGAAGACGATGCTGAAGAGGAATGGGGAACGAAGAGAGAGGATTGAAACGGCGTAAACCTTCAAAATTTCTATATGTAACTAGATCGCTCATCATCGAACGGTTAAGATCATTCCTAACTTCAACAAAACAGTGCGTAGCGGTGATGAGCTCCTTGCCGCTACGCAGTACTGAAATTCGTTCCCTATATCTCATAGACATTTCTTGGGTCACAATCACATTTAACGTTATTTCTACTTCCTGAGGACTTTTCCACATTGCTCTTAAATTTGTGACAATCTTTTCTACGTAAGCAGCACTTCAAAGTGGCCATATGTCAGCTTTCCTCTCTTTAGTTTCTTTTCATGCATTCTTTTGTTCATTAAAAACTCTTTTTCTTTGATGTCTACCTTGAAAATAACTTCGCTGCTTATCGATCTGAATAAAATTCTGCATAATCAACAAACGATTTCCCAAAAGATAAATATATATGTCTTGTGCAGACTTTACTTCTTATCATCTAAATATTTTACCATATTGACAATAGATTTTGCTTCCCCAGTGAATCAGCATAATTAATTAATTATGTTCCTATGAATAAATGGATTGGAAGGATCATATTCAATACTACATATCTTTCTTGAAGGATTTTTGACTCTGCTGTTAAATTTTTGACTCTATAGATATATATATATATATATATATATATTCTGACAGAGAGCTTAATAATTTATAAAAGAAAAATGGAACCAAACCTAAAACCTCCCGCTAACGAAGAGTTTTCATGCTGTTGGCTACAAAGTCATTGGGCATATGAAACCTCTTTAAAATAGTCTGAAGATCCCATTCAAGTCATTAAGTGCATCATCGAACATCAGGATCCAGCAAACCCAGCAGCATATAATAATAGGGGGAAAAAATGAAGCTACCGATATGTGGTTCGAACCACAAAAAGGAGAAATAATATGCAAGCATTGAGCTAAAGCAAATAATAATGATGATGATGTGACAGTATTTGCCTTGGTTTAGACCGCATTATTATTAATGTGGAATATCGTAAAGTAAAGTGATGACGAGACCATATGAAAGCATTTTCATTCTTCCTTTTGTTGCCATTAATGGTTTACTACGTACCACAAATTTATGGATTTAGTTTGGCCGATTCCATGCAAGGGCGTGCTGCGTCCAAAGCAATAATGAAGATGCCATTACTGTTGAAATGAAGTTGGCAGTAAGAAAAAAACATGTTGATCGTGGGACCCACCAGCTAATTAATAAGGAAACCTTCAATTAAAAACCTCCTTCTGAATGGATTCCTTTCCCTGCTAATTTCAGCTTCTCTCATTTTCCATTTCCGTTTCTGCACTTTTCTTCTGTATTTTGAACACCTGAGGATTGGCCAATCTTAGCTGTGAAGGTCATTATGAAGAATCTTGTGTTTGTGATAAGTGTCGTATTATTTTATTTGGGACATTGCATCAAGACAAG